AGTGTTCTGACTTCTCCCCTCCTCAGAGTTTCACCACAGTGAATTGAGACACGGAGTATTCTTATTCTGTTTGGAATGATCTGATGATGAGTTTCTTTCACTTCTGGAAAATTTTCAACCACTGTCTAACTTTCTTTTCTTTTTTTTTTTTTGATACTAGGGATCGAACTCAGGACCTTGTGCTTGCAAGGCAGGCGCGGTGCCACTGAGCTAAATCCCTGGCCCTATAAATATTTTCTTTTTTTCATTGTATTTAGTTTTTTCTCTTGGGCTTCTTCTTTCTGAATGTTGAAACTTTTTTTTAAAATCCTGTTCTTCATGAATCTTAATCTCCATTTCATTTTTTAATCTTTTTTCTCTCTTTGTACTAAATTCCCTCAAGCTCCATCAAACCTACTTTACATTTTACTAATATTCTCTAGCTCGACTTACCTGCTATTCAATCAGTTGACTGCAATGTCTTTCAATAGCTATAATTTTCATTTCTTTGAACTCTATTCAGTTTCCTTTTTAATTTACATATTCATTTTTTAGTTTCATTTTTATTTTGGGGGGCGGGTTTGAGACAGGGTCTCACTGTGTAGTTCAGGCTGGCCTCAAGCTCATAGTGATCCTCCTGCCTCAGCCTCCCGAATGCTAGGATTACAGGCATGTGCCACCATGACCAGCTCTTTAGTTTCATTTTTTTCTTTTTCTTTCTTTTTTTTTTTTTTGGTACCAGGGCGAGACCTTGCGCTTTCAAGAAAGGTGCCAGAACCATTGAGCTAAATCCCTGGCCCTTTAGTTTCATTTTTTAAAATCGTGTTTTCTATTCCTTTTATTTCTCTAATAATTTCAAATATTCATATTCTTTTATTATCTGCAATTCATATTATGTTATGATTGCTAAGTATAATATTCTCTTAGAATGGAGTATTTGTTCACACAGGGTAACCTCTCAGCAATAGCTCAGTGAGGCTCGCTCTTTAGAAGGAATTCCTTTGTCCTGTGTCATATAACTACAGGGCAGTTCCCTCAATTTTGGCTTTCTGTTGATGTTATTGTTCTGGGGACTGAATCCACGACGTCACCCAGGCTAAGCATGTGCTCTCCACAAGCTGCACCCCGCCCTCCCCAGTTGCTTTTCTGTGGTTCTAAGCATCCCAAGATAGCCGAGAACCAGTGTTTATGTGGGTTTGTTCAGCTCAAGCCTGCACTTACCCACTGTAGGAACCCAGATCCTATGCCCGTTATGTGGAATATGCTTAGGGTAGAGATCTTTCAATCAATGTTCTTTATGGCACCTTCAGCCCTGACTATATGGGAGCACCCTGCTACTTGTAATATGAGGCAAAGCATTTAGAATCCTTTTGAAACAGATGAGGCAGCTGCTTGGGCTCTGGACAGCTTTATGCAGGCCATTCAGTGCCGGCTTCCCGAATCTGCTAGTGATGGTTCCTTTGCCACTCTTTGAACACTAAAACCCCCATCCTAGACCTGGAGCCACCATACAGAATGCTCTGAAATGAAAGCCAGAGGGGTCTTGCTGTGAGTGTGAGTGTGAGTGTGTGTAACACAAGGGATGGGCAATAGGTACAGTTAAGCAGTATGAGTAATCACATGGCACATGTGAATACAATCACACGTGCCACGTGACTACATGTGATTGTCTCTTGCGGATGACACTGTGATTTTTCTTTTCCTTCAGATTGTTGTTTTGTAAATATCCTATATATACTACCTTTATAGTCACCAGGAAAAAATTTTACCTGAAGAAACAAATGTCTAAATCCGGCAACATCTGTTTAACACCTTCGCTGTAAAGGGCATTTGCCGCAGCCTCCTCGAGGCTTCCTGGCTCCCCTCGACCCTTGTGCACTGGAGAACTCACAGGGGATGAGACAATTTGAGATTCCTATTCCTATTCCTGCTGGTGATGAAGGGGTTTTGTTTTGTTTTGGTTTGTTTTTTTGCATGTAATGTTTTAAGTTAACTGCAGAAATTCTGCCTAGCAGTGAAGCATGAAGTATAATTTCTATAAAATAAAGGCGATGGCTTGGTCTAGGCATAAATAATATTCTCAGATTACAGCGTGAGCAGTTTACAGTTTGAGGCTTGAAGCATAGGCATCAACAATGGGCCATATCCACACAGTGGTTTTATTTTCTGGTGCGGCTCTTTATATGAGCAGCAAGCTGACAAATGTTGTGGGGTTAGTAAATTATTGTCCAGGCCAGCCTGCTGCCTGTTTTGTGTAGCCTGCCAACTAAAAATAGTTGTTATATTTTTTAATGGTTGGGAGAAAAGCCAAAGCAAGGATAATATTTTATGACATGTGAAAATTATATGAAATTCAAATGTTAGTGCCCATTAAGAAGTTTTAATGGGACCCAGCCACACTCATTTTTGTTTGTTTGTTTGTTTGTTTTGGACAAGGACACTCATTTATTATGTATTCACTGTGGCTGCTTAAATTGCAGAATATTGGTATAATCTTGAAGTGAGAATGGTTTGCTAATCAAGAGGTAAAATTCAGAGACCATAAAGAAAGAGACTGGCAGATCTGATCTCATAAAACTTAAAACCTTCTGAATAAAGCAAAACACCATAAAATAGTTGAAAGACACCCAAGAGGGAGGCTAGGAGCAGAGCTGGTCATGGAACCCAAGAGTCCCTCCACATACACTGCTTCCTCTCAGTTTCATTACTGAAAAGTGCAGTAAACACTTGGGGGTCTCTATGTCCCACGTCAAGGGTTGTGTCCTCCCAGGAGGGCGAGGAAGTTAGCACAGCCATTTTGACCAACAAAATGTGGAGCTTCCTCAGAAAACTAAAGCTACAGAATTCCTGTGTGATCCCAGCAATCTTGTTCCCTGGTAGATGTCCAAAGGAATGGAAATTAGCACGCTAAAGAGATTGTTGCACTTTCCTGTTGACTGTAGCTTTATTCACAATAGCCAAGATATAGAAGCAACCTGGGTGTCCATCAACATATGAACAGATAAAGGAAACATACACACACTGTGGAATACTATTCAGTCTTAAAAAGGAAATCCTGTCCTTCCCGATGACATAGATGGAATTGGAGAACATCATATCAGGGAATAAGCCAGAAAGATAAATACTGTATTCTCTCGCTTATATATGGATCCTAAAAAATGTTGATTTCATAGAAACAGAGTAGAAAGGTAGTTATCAGAGGCTGGGAGAGGGAGAAGGATGGGGAAAAAGGAAATGTCCATCAAAGGGTAGAAAATTCCAGTATAGAGGAGGAAAAATTTTAGTAATCTATTATACTGTATGATAACCACAGCTAATTATGTATTGTATATTTCAAAATTGATAAAAGAATAACTTTTAACATTCTTGCCATAAGAAAATAAGTTGATGAGGTGATGGATATGTTAATTAGCTTAATTGAGTCTTTCTATTAGTGTATATGAAGATCAAAACGTCACATGGTACCTCATAAACGTACACTATAAATATTTGTCAAGGAAAGTTTTTAAAAGACTGATTTTTAACCCTGGGACTGAACCCAGGGCCTTTGCATGGAACTAGATTCCCAGGCGTTTTTTTGTTTTGTTTTGTTTTGTTTGAGATAGGGTCTAGCTAAGTTGCTAAATTGTCCAGAATGAGCTCAAATTTGTAATCCCAGGCTGTTGAGATTACAGACATGCACCACCACACCTGGTTTAAAGATTGATATTTAAAGATACTCTTTTTTTTCTTTGAAACTAACCCCCAAAACAAATTCATCTAGAAAGTGGTTTTATTAAAGCGTGGCAGTGTGGACAGTATGTACAAGATGCAAAACTCTGCTCTAGCACCTCCTCCAGAGCCCTTCACCCACAGGGAACACTTCTGTGAACATTGCTTCAGAAACAGAAAGTGTTGCCCCGCCACTGGGATTGGGGGATTGTTTTGCTTTATGTTGAAAGACAACCCAAAGAACCAGACTGCAGTTGAGCTGTTCACCAGACTGTCTTTCCCATGACGTTTATAAAATTTGTTGCCTACTGAAGCTACTGAGTTGAAAGTTAAGCAACTTTGCCCAAGGTCACCAGCAGTGGGACCCCCACACACACACTCTTTAATTCAAACCCGTGAGTTTTCCATTACTGGATTTCTCAAATGTGCTTCAAGGACTCCCTGCAAGAAGCACAGCTCCATGGCCAGGTGTAGCTCAGTAGCAGAGTGTGTGCCCAGCATGCATGAGGCCCTGGCCTCAACCCCCCCGCACCCCTTAGCCTCAAAAAAAAAAAAAAAAAATGCAGCTCCAAGTCCAACCACAGACCGACTGGATCAGAACCCCTGGAATGCGAAAGGCGCTCTATAGTTTATAAACAGTCCTCATGGGAATCTCCACTGGAGTCGACCCCTTAATGCCAGCTCACATTGCGCTGTGACACACAGAGAACTGTCACAGCCCGAGCCTTTGGCAAGTTCCGGTTTTGTGTGTTGACGGGAAAATGAATTGCTGTAAACATAAGATGCCTGAAAAGCAGTGTCGGCACTGCCTTGGCTGCCTGTACACAAAAACCCCATTACCTGCCTAAATAATTTAACCTAGGGAGGAGGTCCTCTGAGTGGTGTCTTTGAATGGTTCTCTTTGTTTTTGCCATGCTTCGCAATCACTTGGGAAGGGTTGAAAACCCTAACGTTTGGGTCTGGCCCTCAGGGCTTCTGACTTCATTGATTTGGTGCCTGGACTTTATAAAAACCTTCCCAGGTGATTCTAATGTGTAGGCAAGGTAGAGAACCTCTGCTTGAAATAATGGTTAAGTACATACCAAATGTGACATTTTTTTTCTTGTACTGTTGCTAAACTGTTACTTCTAGCAAAAGACAACAGTTTCTGAAGCAGCTTTTTTCCTCTGTAGCCCCAGAAAAAGGTGGCACCTGGACCACCTAATATGCAAATCCTTAGAAATTGCCAGACCTACCAATCAGAAACGCGAGGGGTGGGGCCAGCAAGGTTTTTAACAAGCCATGGTGGGGGTGGGGGGATGTGAGTTTGAGAACCGAGGCTTTGGGAAGTCTTGTGCCTGTGAGTTGTGTCACTAAGCAAACAGAAAAGGAGCAGGGACGGTGACTAGGTGTTATCTGCTCAAGAGATTGCTCGACTCACAGTCAAGTTGAGGAGGTATTTTTGTTTTGTTTTGTTTTTGGTACCATGGATCAAACTCAGGACCTTCTGCTTGTGAGGCAGGCGCACCGCCACTGAGGTACATCCCCAGCCCGAGAAGGCATTTTTGTCCTCTTTGGGCACAGCCTCCTGGTTCTCAGCTCCCTGGGGCTCCAAGGATAATAAGGTTTAACCTGTTTTCCTGAGTGATTGTCAGTGCAGTGATTGGGGCTGTTTGCCTTCCTGTCACCAGGTACTGCTGGCAACTTGGGGCTGTCCAGCCAGAGCCAGACCCAAACTTCCCAAAAATCTTTTGGTGCCATTTTAATAGGGAAGGAAGAAGAGGGTTTGGGTCTTGATATGCTTTTTTAAAAATCCCACTGTTACCTATTTGCTAAACCAAGTTATCTCTAGGAAGGAAAACACCTGTGTTGATCCAAATGCCTGAAACGAGTTAACCATTTCCTGGCTCACAGGGCTAAATGGTTGGGCCTAACCAGGTTTATCTGATCCACCCAAATATAAACACATGGTTCAGGGAGGGTCCCGTATGGGCCAGGGTGAAGTTTTTATAGTTAGAAGCAGTCTTTTGTTTCCCCCTGTTCTTATGTGATTTAAAACTTCTACGCTGAAAAACTTGATTCTGGATATTTGCTAGTCACACGTGGTGCATAAGAAAGCCATTTCCCTTGCTCAGAGATGAGAGAGACTGAGGGGTGAATCCAACAAGTGCGTAGCTGTTTTGAGTCTCTTGGAAGCATTTGAGAAAATATTTCTCAATTATGCTTTCCCATTGGACTGAGTTGACTTCGAATCATCTCTAACCCCAGGACAGAAAGTTGGATAAACAAACCATCTCACCAATGAGATTGCATGCTTTCCAAAATATTTTCAAAGGCTGGGGGTGTGGCTCAGTGGTAGACCACTTGCCTAGCCTGCAAGGCCTGGGTTCAGTGCCCAGCACCACCAGAACACATCCTCATGTGAAATTACATGGAACTGTGGAACTGGAGGCCCAGGGCTCGGCATTCTGCTCTCCTTAAGTCCCATGAAGGAGGAAGCTGGTCCAGGAGCTTCTCTTGGGCAGCCAGGCCCATGTCTTGGCCCCTGCACCCCCTTTACAACTCAAGGAGGGTGGGTGTACCTGGGGACAGGCTTCCTGGTGGGCAGCCACCACTGATGGGACAGGAGAGTCAGGCACATTTTTGCCCTTGAGGGGCAGCGAGGAAGGTGTGTCCTGCAGGAGGGAAAGGAAAATCCTGCCTAAGCCAAGCTCAGAGCTGCTAAGGAAGTTGCAGAAATCTATGAATGCTCAGCTTTGTTTCTTCTCTGGGAGCCCTCAGAGTTCCTCATACCCTTTCTCCCCCACCCTGCTGCTTTTCAGGACCCACCTACCAATAAACGCAGAAAAATGGCCTCAGGAAAGGTTTCTCAGTAAAATACAGGAAGCCCAGTGATATATGAGTTCCACAGAAACCACCACCAATTTGTCAGGATGAATATATCACAACTATCTTATTGATCATTCTTGTACTAGCTGTTTATTTCACTGGGTGGCCTGGATTTTCATTAGCTCCCCCTGGAAACCTGGTCTATGGTAGGTGGCAGGAGAAGGTGCAGGGCAGACGGGGACCCTGTGAGCTCCTTGTGACAGCCGTGGCAGGAAGAGAAGCCACCCACTCACCATATCGGCATCGGTATTGACAGATTCCATTCTTCCCTCCCAGCAGCTCCTGGAAGGAATCGAAGTAGCTGTTGACTGATTCAAAGCTGCCCCGAAGGTGCCGGAGGCCCCAGTCAGAAAAGGACTCCTCGGCTTCGGGGCCGGGGTCACTCTGAGCCAGGCCACCCCCCAGGCTAAGCCACAAGATCAAGAAGCCGGTGGCCAGCTTCATCCTGCAGACAGGTAGGTGCTGAGTGCTGTCCTCAGACCCCAACCTGTGTCCCAGAAGTTCAGGGCCACAGCCCACCCAGCCGGATGTCAGGCGGTACCGGGAACAAGACTATCGAGAACACTCAATCTGTGTGTTCCCTAGAAGTGGACTTTAAACACAGCTATGGAGGCTGGGATGAGATCAGGGCCATTAGAGAGCAAAGGTGAGGAAGTGGGAGGGCCTGTCTGAGAGATGGCCCAGAGGGAGAACTCTTCAAAGTGGATTCCGTGGCCCTGGAGGGGGAGATGTTGGCCCGCTCCCAGGAGGCAGGAAGAAGGAGCCCTGAGAATTCTTTTTGTTTTTTTGAGACAAGGTCTCACTCTGTGGCTTAGGCTGGCCTTGAACTCACTGTGTACCCCAGGCTGGCCTCACACTCGAAGCAGGCCCTCAGTCACAAGGCTGGCCTCAGCCTCCTGAGTGCTGGCATTACAGATGTGCACCACCTTGCCCAGTTTGCGCCCTGGAAATTCTGCCCCCACAGCTTGTAAACCTATTGATCAGTTACCAGTTTGTCCAATAGGGGCAGCCTCTTGATAGGAGAGCTTGTCTCAAGGCCCTAGCCACACCCCTAAGCCAGTCCCCTACTCCCACTCTCTGGGGAGATTCAAGAGGATGTGTAAAGGGCTCAGGTGGGGGGACAGCAGGGTCACCCTGAAGCGCTGGAGAAAATATTTCTCAAGTATGCTTTCCTGATAGGCTGAGGTGACTTCGCATTTTTATCTCTAACCCCAGGACGGAACACTGGATAAACAAACCATCTCACTAATGAAACTGCATGCTTTCATTGGAAATGGCAAATACCCTTGACAGTGAAACTGGCATGAATGGAGCCACTGCTCTGTCCACCTCTTCAGTAAATCCTTTGGAGGACAGAAAAACATATGAAGTATGTAGTAAAGGCACTTACTAGCCAGAAGTGTGAGACAGACACTAAACACATAAAACAATCACAGAGTCAATGTTTCCCATGGTTTGGAAGTGTCTATATAACCTTTGTGAAAATATGCGCACCCATAGGATATGAGACATTTCTGCACATCAAGAAGTTTCAAAGGTAACATCACTTCTGAAGAGTTTGTTTATATCTGAGACTTTAACTCCAAATGAATCACTTTCATTATCACCTGAGGAACTGTTGGAAGCAAATAGCCTTTAGAAGTGAGCCCAATAAAAAGAGTGCGCTGATAGTTTTCTGGCCCTTTGGCACAGCTGCTCTGCCTGTATCATAAGTGATCAACGGGTTTCATAGGACCATGCTCCAAATCACTCCCTTCTGCATCAAAACAGGCAAACCATTCAGTTTTTAGAGGTTGAGGCAATCTCTAAAAATGTCAGGTAGCTTTTCTTCAGTGTCAGACACTAGAGAAATAATACATATCTTGAATACATTTGTCTTTTCATGAATGCTATTTATTTGTATAACAAGCTTAGTGAATGTGCCTAAGATACAATAGGCCACAGGCACTCTTCATTTAACAACAGAATTCAGCCCCGGCAGGTAGGAAGTTTACTGGTCATTAAATGAGGAATTGTATGCAGTATGTATACTACAATATTGAGAAGAAAGATATGATCAAAGCAAACTACAACTTGATGACTTTGCTTTTATTTGCATAACTCTTATATGCAGTACTGAAATGTGTAATAAAACTATAGTACTGTACTATACAGTACAATCAGCAAAAATTGCAATAGTGTATAAACAAGGTGTACTGTAAAAAAAAGACATTGAGGCTCTATCCACAAGATGTACAGAACTGTACAAACAAAAAAGGCAGGTTGTAATTCTGAGCAGTGAGTTATAAGTCTGAACAGTTGTTAAACAAGTAGCTCGTTAAATGAGAAATAACTATACATGCATTTACATTGTTTCTATGAAGCAGGGTAAATATCATTTCCATTTGAGAAGTGAGAAAACTGAGTTGCAGTGGTTAAAAGATTTGGTCAAAGCCAGGGCCAGCTACATAATTTGTGAGGCCCAGCACACCTGTAATCCCAGTACTCTGTGAGGCTGAGACAGGAGGATCAAAAGTTCAGGCTCAGCCTGGGAAACTTAGTGACTTAGCTCCTTTTTTTTTTTGGTACCAGGGATCAAACTCAGGACCTTGCGCTTGCGAGGCAGGTGACGGAACCACTGAGCTAAATCCCTGGCACTTAGTGACTGAGATCTTATCTGAAAATCAAATTAAATTGGGTTGGGATGTAGCTTAGTGTAAAGGTCCTGGTTCAATCCTTAGAGGCCCTTAAAAAAAAAAAGCAGCATTCCAATTGGGTACAGGGGCCCATGCCTATAATTCCACCTACTCAGGAGGTTGAGGCCACGGGATCATGAGTTCAAGGCCAGCCTGAGCAACTTAGACCCTGTTTTAAAAATAAAAACTGTGGAGCCGGGGATTTAGCTCAGTGGTTCTGCCACCTGCCTTTACAAGCACAAGGACCTGAGTTCAATCCCCAATACTAAAAAAACAAAAACAAAAACAAAAACTGTGCTCGGAACATAGTTCAGTGCTCCTAGAGTTCAACACAGTTCAGTGCTCCCAGAGTTCAACCCTCAGTGCTGCCACACACACACACACAAAATGCACAGCTCCTTTTCAAAAAAGAGATAAAAAGTGCCATCAAAGATAAAAGATACCTTTTCCTTTAAAAAGATCTAATTTGAGGCCGGGGATTTAGCTCAGTGGCACCATGCCTGCCTCAAAAGCACAAGGTCCTGAGCTTGATCCCCAGTACCAGAAAAAAAAAAACCCAACCAAACAAAAAAGATTTTATTTGCAAAAAATAAGGATAATAGCAATACATAAATAACAATATAAACAAAATTTTAACATTTTGATGCCATATTTTATATAACATGCTTTATTAACATGCAATATCTTTCTTATTAATAAGATTTTTTTACTTTCTGAAAATTCGTTTATTAGATCACCAAAGTTTATGCTTTTAATCACTTCAGGCACAGTATAACCAAAAGCCATTTCCAGGTGCTCTTGACAAACACAAGATGGAAAGTAATATTAGATAATTTTTAATTTTGAGAAGGATCTTTTTGCTGACGTAACTGTCAGTGAAGCTGAGAGTATTTTTTCAGATTTCTAGTTGCCTAAAATTTTTTGTTGTGATAAAATAAACCTAATTACCAACGAGTTTGGAGCATGGAATGCAGTGGCATATGAGCATTCATACGTTGGTGTGCAGCCATCACTATCTTCTATCTCCAGAATTTTGTCATCACCCTAAACTGAAACTGGGGACCCACCAAGCGATAATCCCTCATTTCCATCTTCTTCCCCCAGCCTCTGCTGCTACCTTACTTCCTGTCCTTGTGAATTTACCAGATCCAGTTTCTTCACATAAATGGGATCATGCAACCTATGTCTTTCTGTGCCCAGTTTATTTCACCTCGCATCATGTTTTCCAGTTCATCCGTGTTCTGTTCATCGGTATTTCTTTACTGTAGAAAAGGTGCTATGATGATGGGTGTACAGATTTCTGTCGGAGTCCCCGCTTCCCAAGTCCTTGGTGTATATACCTAGAATTGACCTTGCGGCTGCAATTCTATGTTCAACTTTCTGGAGAACCAGTCTATGGCTTTCCACAGTGCCTGCACCATTTACATTCCTTTCCAGTAATGTGTAAGCTCCGATTTCTCCACATCCTTATTTACACTCAACTGCTTTGGATTTGTTTGGTGACAACAAGCATCCTAGTGAGTGTGAGGTGGTATCTCATGTTTTTTTCTCAAAGCTCCCCCAAAATTGATTCAGAGCATTTTTCATGTGTTTATTGACCATTTGTGACTTTGGAGAAAAACATTTATCTGTGCCCCCTCTTTGTGGTGCCAGGGATGGAACCCAGGGCCTCACAGGTGCTGGACAAGTGTGCTGCCATTGAGCTGCCGCCCCAGCCCTACTTTCCCATTTTTAATTGGGTTGTCACTTGTTTAGCTTTAGAAATTCTTTCCATAGTCTCAGGGTTGCTTTTGCACTCTTGGTTGTATTTGATACACAGAAGTTTTACATTTGGTTGAAATTCAGCTTGGGTGTTTTCTCTTCTGTTGCCCATGCTTTTAATGCCCATGCCATGTCACGTCCAAGAAAGCGAACCCAGGGTCACAAAGATCATGAAGGTCTTCCCCTGTTTTCATGAAGAGTTTTGTAGTGTGAGTTCTTATGTTAAAGCCTCTGATCCTCCTCCTCCTTTTAATAATACGACAGTTTTCTTTATATTGCTAGCACCAAGGCTGAGGGTCTTTCTTTTGGGTCATGGATATTCTGGACTGCCAGGAATATTAAAGTTCATCTTGTCCCCCCAGTCTCCTCTGTACGGATACGTTTTCTTGGCTGCTCCCTCTAGTCATCACATTTTTTTTTGTTTTGTTTTTTGGTACCAGGGATCGAACTCAGGATCTTGCTGCCTGCAAGGCAGGCAGTGGAACCACTGAGCTAAATCCCCGGCCAAGTCATCACATTTTTAATGTGTGAGGAAGTAATGCTTATTTCTTAGTTTGAGAATTTAAATATGGTTTCTTCATATATATAGAAAATTCAGCATATCATCAACTACCTGTTTTCCTTCAAATTGTGAAGAATAAATGAGTTCTGCTGTAAGGAATTGTGAAGCCTGAACTCCAGAGACCTGGACTCTATGAGATAAATGCATCAGTTCAGCCATCAGTGATGACTGCAGTCTGGGTCCTGGAACAGGTTCCTGGTTAGCAGTTGGAGCCATGTGTGCTGGACCTGGGGCTCAGGGGATTTGTTTCTGAGCCTCTACTGGCTGTAGACATGAGGGTTGGGACAACAGGAAATGTGGAAAGCTGCTGGACCGGACCTTGGCCCAGAGGAGAAGTACATGCTGTGTCTGGATTGGCTGTGGTTGACAATCAGATAAATTGATGAGTAAACAGGGTGTGGAGGACCTGGTAGGATTTAAATCAAGGATTCACTTCAGGAATGTGAAACAATCTTTT